TGTGGGAATAACAGGTGGCTAATGTCTGCAGAGAGCCAAGGTCCCATGCTTGGGAGCTATTCTTGCTTCTCTGTCCTTGTCCTGGCTCTGAGAAAATCCTGGTCTACTTCCCAAGGCACACTGCAGGCCTGCCTGTGTTCAGGGCCCGTGCCTCTCTTCTCTCCGAGGCGTCCTGTGTTAGGGCGCAGTTGTGCTGTGGAATCACACCAGTGGATACATTAGAGGACCTCTTCCTCCTCAGCTCAACACAGCACTTCCTACTGTGGTTCAGTGATAAAGCCATTTTCTTTATTCTGCTCTTCAGGAGGAGGTAAAAATCTCCTTTTTCTCTTCTTCCTTCCTTTTTTTACTGTTTGGATTTTCCCCCAGCATCCTGATTTGCCCCCTCCTTCCTCAGGGCTCTTGTAACTATCTCCACTCTGCCTCTTGCCCTTTGTCTGCAGATGGGCAAGTGCCTAGTGCCTCCCTCAGCCCCCTCCCCCAGCCCCAGGCCTCTGCCCTGCTCCAGCAGCCCTGGCAGAGCCTTATCTCTGCCCACCATGCACTGCCCCCGCAGCTGGCTGGGGTTGGGGGAGGAGGGAAGCTGAACAACTGAATGAGAGTACAGACTGGCTCTGCTGCCTGCTCTGGGAGGAACAGATGGAGGCGGAAGTGGCGGTGGGGCTCCTCCACGGGGCAAGTACTCCTGGCTCTCCTTACCCCAGACCTGCTCCCTGGGCTGTTGCTGGGCACTGCCAGGAATTTCAGGGCAAGCTGAGGCAGCCTGCCTGGTAAACAAACCCGAAGCCGAGCTCTTGCAGAAGAAGCCAAAGGATTTCAGTTTCATCCAAAATCTCCCGGCTCAAAGCAAATCTCATAAATCAAAAGGAGATGTTGTTGTTGTTTTTAACTGTCCTATCCTGTCCTGTGTTGGCTAGCTCCTGTCCCCTTTCTGCCTTGCTCTCCCCTCTGCCCATACTGAAAGTGAGGAGGGGAAGTGGGCAGATCGGCTGGGGTAAAGTGTTGGGGTGGGCTTGGATTGAGCTGGACCCTCCCCGACTGCAACCTTCAGTCTGACCTTCAGAGGCCTCATTGGCATTCCAGTCCTGGCCAGCTTGGAGAACAGCAGCAACAAGATATAATCAGGGGGCACGTTCAAATGGCTTCAAACACCTCCACTGCTATGAACCTTTTTTGACCCCGTGGAGGCCACAGAAGGCACCTGCCTGAATCCCTCCCGGCACACAGGCTCACCAGGCCTCCAGAGCCTGCCCACTCATCTGTAGTAGCCTCTTCAGAGAGGGTTGTCTTCTGCTGATCCAGAGAGGGATTTCCAGAAGGTTCCACAACTGGCCTTGTATGGAGGCAGGGCAGAACAGATTCTGGTCAGGCTCCACCTCTGCCCCTTACTGATGGTAGCCTCCTGGGTAAACTCCTTGGCCTCTCTGTCAGACACAGGCGCCTTTACCATGCCTACCTCACAGGTCCTTTGTGAGCACTAGCTCAGCTGATGTGTAGGAATTGCTTAGAGAAGCACTTTGCACAGAGTAAGTATCCTATTAGTGTTTGCTAAATAAATTGGTCCCAGCTCTGATATACACTGATGACAGCTCATCTCTCAGGTGTAGCTAGCTCTCTTGGACTCCCAGGACCAATTCTTCTCCAAACCCTTCATTCACTTGACAAATATTTACTCATCAAGTGCTTCTGTTTAGGTATGGGTTTGCTATGGGAACAAAATAAAATGGTCCCTGTGCTCAGGAAATTTACAATAAATGCACAGATGAATACAGAATTTCTGCCTGTGCTGTGTACAATGAAGGAATCTAAACCTGGACGATGTGGGCAAACCTACTTGAAGCCTAGGAGCTGAAGAAGCCTCTGCGGCCAATTGACATTCAAGCCCAGATTTGAAAGATGAGAAGGGGCAACCACAGGAACTGGGGGTGATGGAAAAGCATTCCAGATAGTGGAATGGCACATGAGGCCTCCCAGCCAGCAGGAACAGAGCATGCAGCAAAAGCAGGAGGGAGGCCAGCCCAGCTACAACCCCCGGAGCAAGGACTGAGGGAGAGAGGGCTGGAGAGTGAGGCAGGGCTAGATTCAGTGTGGTGTGCACGGGACAGACGGGCTCAGGTCAGGTCAGTGGATGGTGTGACCGATGGTTTTAAGAGCGCACTCTGTCATGTGGCTAGTGACTGGAGTGTACCATTAAATAAGAGAACAGTTGGCAAAGGTCAGCAGACATCCAGATGAGGGATGCCAGTTCCCTAGGATAGAGAAGCGGGGATCAGGATGGAGGGAAGTGGGGTCATACTGGGATAGGTGGTGAAAAGAGAAGGCAGGGCTTTGGGTGGCACAGTTGGAAGGGATCTGGGTTTTAGGAGTGTTAATCTTGTTGACACTCAAGGAGCTGGTAAAGGGTGGGTATGGGGGAAGGGATTTGAAGGTGGCATCTTTTTTTTTGTCTTTTTCTTTTTTATCAGTACCGGGGAATGAACTCATGACTGTCTGCTTGCAAGGCAGGCGCTTATGCCGCTGAGCTAAATCCCCAGCCCGTGAAGGTGGCATCTTGATGACTCCCCATTCTGCAGGCTGTGCACCTGGGAACTATGGAGGGACAGAGGGTGTCTCCTGTGTGTGTGTCTACGCCACCTTCTGAGTGTATTCCACATTGCCTCTGATGAAGGCCCACGGTGCTGGTCTTGGAGACATTCCAGAAGGTTCTCTTCAGCACACAGCAGTACCTTGTCACCACTTCCATTCTCCCAGCTGTTGGAGGCTGGGCCCAGCTTGATCTGGGTTGCACCTGACTGGCCATGAGATCTTGAGAAAGTGACCTAAATCATACTGCCCCTCAGTTTCCTCTGCTGCAATGTAGAGATAACAGCGTAGAACCTACCCAGAGGTCACTCGGGATTGTGTGACTGTGCCATGCTGAGCACACTGTGAATGTTATCATTTGGATGGCCGGAGGGCAAATGTTCTTTCCAGCCCTTGCTGGGTCCCACCACCCCATAAAGGCCTACAGCGTCCCTGTAGGAGATGCTTCCAAGCCCAGCCCCCCTCTTTCTGCGCTCACACAGTTGGGTTTTTAAGCCCAAGTTCAGGGCTGACATTTATCTCCGTTCAGTTTCATTTTGTCAGATGCAGCCCACGGTGCCAGCTTGTCAATTTTCTTTCTGTTTTGATGAGGGAGAGGTCGTGTGATGCATGCTAAGTGCACTTTTGTGACCACAGAAACAGCCAAGGATGGTGCTTGCTGTCTTCCTGGCTCGGTCTGAGTGGCCCCAGCCGGGGGAGGTGGAGACAGGGCAGGCACGGGCTCAGCAGATGTGTCCCCCGTGTAGGCTGCCTTGGCCCAAGGCTGAGCCTATACCACGGTCCTCTTTATCTCTCAGGCAGGGATTGGCTTTGAGTGGAGACAGAGGGCCAGAAGGACCTGTTCAAAGCCACTTAGTAGGTTGGCCAGGGACAGGGCCGAGGCATGAACCACAGCTCAGCTCTGTGTCCCCAAGGTCCCGCCACTTTATGATCTTACCACTTTCCAAAGCACACTCACATTCCCTGGCTTTGTATCAAGAAAAATGTGGATGCCAGGGGGAGAAGGACATGCTCTGAGTATAACCACCTTCCCCTTGTTCCCTACTTGCTCTCCCCTCTGCACCCCACTGTTTCTGTGCTCAGTGAGGAACACAGCTCCTTCCATGCTGACTGGGGGGATGAGAAGGCAGAGCATATCCTCCCTCCTATGACCCTCCCAGGTCCCTGTCCCCACCTGTCCCCACCTAGCAGCAGATCACTGTGTAGCCATGGCATGTAGCTGTGATATTTGTGTTAATGGCAAGCTTGACTGAGCTGTCTTCCTGTATGGGTTCCCTTCCCTAACTTCCCAAGGGCAGGGATCCCCATTAGGCAGAGAGCAACCCCAAGATCAAGGGCTGTGTATCAGTGAGTTCTTTTCCTTCTACCACTTTTCAGGCCCCCACAGAGATTTAACTCAGCACAGGCTGGAAGGACAGACAGACCTGGAGGCCCTGGGAAGTGATAGCTGCTGGTGCCACCATCCTCCCAGACTGCCAGAGAGCTAAGGACACACTCAATGACATGCTCAATGTTGGCTGACCTCTCACCAGCCGCAACAACGTGTCTTGGTACCAGCTTCTGGGACCAGTGGGCTCACTGGCTCAGTGCCCACGACACACTGCCTTCTCTTGTTAATACGCTGCTTGTTCCACATGTGTGCTTGGAGGAAATTTCCAGAAGTAGTTTCTTGGGAAAACTGAATTTCTCTAATATGCTGCTTTGCAAATTTAACTTTGAGAGCAAAGAGAGAGGAAATGCAGGGAAGGCAGCTCCTGCTACATACATATTATACTGTTACCCCACAAATAAGCTCTTATTGGGGCCGCCATTCCAGACTAGAGAATGTGAAAAAAATTTCACAGATTCCTTCTTTCCCCAGTTACCTATTGTTCAAATAAACCTTGGTTAAAATTTTTTCTGGTAACCTACTGGCCTGGCTTGGAGAAGATGAGGTGTAAAAGGATTGAGTTGAAAGAGAGAGAAGGATATGCAGGTCCTTTATATTTGTATGATATCTTATATCTTTTCAAAGCACTTTTGTCTATATAAGCTCAATACACTGGTACCTCAATTCATGAACATAATTTGTTCTGCAATTCTGGAAAAGATGGCCAAGGTCATTTTGGTCACCCAATGCAGAATTCATGAACAAAAACAAAATTTTATCAAATTATTTCCATTTGTGAACCACAGTGCTGGAAAACAAAAGTGTTTGTGAGCTGAGATACCACTGTATTCATTTTATGGTATTATTATGTATTCACTCATTCATTCAACTTTTAATGAGAGCCTATGTGTTGGACCTTATGCCAGAAGCTAAGAGAAATGGGAGAGCAAATTAGAACTGGAGGAGATAAAAGCCTATGTGAAGAAACACAATAGATAACTTGTATCAGTCTGTTTTCCACAGCTATAACAAAATATCTAAGGCTGGGTGTTTTACAAAGAAAAGAGGTTTTATTAGCTTACAATTTTGGTGGCTGGAAGTCTGAACAGCATGGCTCCAGTTCTGTTGGGTTTTCTTGGCTATGTCACATCATGGTGGAAGCATGTGTAAGAGGGAGAGATCATATGATGAGATAAGAAAGAAGATGGTGAGGAGGGGCCCATCTTACTCTTTTATACCAACTCACTCTCATGAGCTTCCATGACAAACATATCAGACCCTTCTGAGGGCAGGGCTTGCACTGTCCTTTCCAGTTTAACCAGGCCTCTGACAGGTCCCATAGCCTCCCAGCAGTGCCACATGGAGGACTAGGTTTCCAGCACACAGCCCACTGGGGACACATCACGTCCACTGCATGGCACAAATGAGGGAGATTTAAGATGGAAAAAGGGACATCAGACCCCTCTTTGGTGGGGGTTACAAGAGGAAACACCAGCCCTTAGTAGATACATCAAGAACTTCACAAAGGAAAGACAGCAGATATGATTACTTCTGATGGAGGAGAAGAGAGGACATGTGATGGAGAAAGTTCTTTGTTTTGTCTGGTGCATTGGTCTACAGCTGATGATCACTGGTAAAGGGCGGCACCATGGTGAAAGGCTTAGCAGCCACCATGTGTTGAGAAATGATGAAGGAAAGTTGGAGTTTGGTTTGGAGAAGAGATTTGGAGACGAAGAACATCCAGGCAGGTGAAGATGAAATGGGTGTTCCCATGACTTCACAGGGGAGAGCAAAGGCCAATGAGCAGAAGAAAAATATTTAACTCAGAAGAGAACACCGCGTGTAATGCAGTAGACACAAATCTGCTGTGAGTGCCTCCCATCCCCAGGAGGACATCTGGCACTGTCTGGAAACAACTTATTGTCACTACTGAAGGAAGAATGATATCAGTGTCTAGGGGGGGATTCAGCCAGGGATGCTGCCACTACATATCCTACAATGCACGGGGCAGCCCCACCACAGAGGTCAGTGATGACAAGGCCATGTAATTCCAGTGTAATGGAAAGAGCACAAGCTTGGGGTTCTAATGTCTCATACCAAGGGTGCTGACCACTAGCCTCACAATGATGGGCAAATTTCTCAGACTCTGGTTGCCAGGATTCTTCTCCGTCAGATGAGGATAATAGAACTGAACTTGCAGGATCAGAGTAGCATTCCTTGGAATTTTTCTGGATAGTGCCCAGCAAAATACCTGGTAAAGAGAACGCAATGGTGCCCCATAGTTGTGTAAAATGAGGAAGATTTTTTTTTCCTTTTAGCTGACAGAATTTCCCATTAATAGTTCTGAGTGCTGGAGAGGTTAGGAGTTGTGATGAATTTTCTGTCCCTGATAATTCTCCACTTCCTGCAAGGATGCAGTAGAGTGTTCTGGAAAAGGTGGGAAACGAGGCTGGATGATAACACTGTCAATCCCTTGGTCCTTCCACTCTGCCATTCCTCTGTAAGGGGCGCTGGAAATCTGCTTGTAGTTCAGCATCTCAGGAATCACAGCATTGCGCTTTTCAAGAAACCAAAGAATTGATTGAATGAGAACTGATTAAAGCAAATCTAGAACCATACTCTCTGGCCTTTAAATAATGTTCTGCCCTCCCTGGATCAGTTAGCTTTGCAGCACTGTGAACAAGTACCTGAGATAATCAGCTTTCACAGAGCGAAGCTTTATTTGGGCTCACCACCTCAGGGTTTCCGGGTCCTACCATTCTACAGCTGCTGGCTGGCTCTCGCGCGTTTGGGCTTGTGGTGAGGGTGAACATCACAGTGAAGAGGGCCTGGTGAAGCAGAGCTGCTTACTTCATGGCTTGGAAGGGAATGAAAGAGAGGAAAAGGAAAAGGAGGTCCTGGGTCCCCTAGTTTTCCTCGATGGCCTGTCCCTAGCAGGACACGCTCCAACAGGCCTCCCGCTGGATCCCAGCTCTTAAAGTTTCCACCACTTCCCAGTAGTACCATAGGTTGAGGGCCAGGCCTTCAACACATGGGCTTTTGGGGTGTGGTCCAGATCAGAACTAGAGCAACAGAGCATCATGGCAGAAATGGAGAGGCAGGCAAGGCTGCTCACCTCATGGCAGCCAGGAAGCGGGTGGGAGTACGAAGCCATCAGTGAGTTAATCCACCGGAAAAGTGAGTGCCAGCCACTTCCTCAGAGCCGTTAGCTGGCAATCAACGCAACACAATGAGCGTGCGGGGGGGGGGGGGGGCATTTCAGATCCTAACCATAACAGAGAGATTTATTGATGACAGCCAGCTGGGTTCAGTGACTCAGAGAGGTGCCTCCTGGTAGAAAACCCAGGCCTCTACTGACATACTCATAGCAAGACATGGCTGCTCCCCTCCCTCTCCAGGTACAGGTCCCATCTCAGGAGCCTCTGGGAAGAGTTACACAAAGGGTTATCACATACCTAAGAGCTGGAGTCAGCATCATCGATGCCAATCATTCTGCATAGCTCTCTGCTCTGCCTAGTGCCACTACCATTCCCTGTGGCCCTGAACAACTGAGACTAGACAGAAAGAGTGACAATAATAAACAGACCTCAGGCAGAAGCTAAGGGATACAGCTAACTCAACAGCTTACTCAGGAACAGTGAGGGACAACGGGTTATCCTGGGGGATGTGCGCTGGTTTGAGATTATGATGGGCCCACCCAACAGTGCCCTCTGGTTGTCACTGAGGCTGACAGGGGATTCACTGTCATTTTCTTTGCCCTAAATTCCAGTCCTGTCTCATGGCAGCTGATCCTGACTTTTCCAGTTGCTTTGCACTGTCTGCTACTGCTGATTCCCCGTCGGTTAACCCACTGCTGTAGAGGGTGCAGACAGGGGAGCAATTCCACAAAGCCAGGCGAGGTCAGCTGCCCAGTCTACCCTCCCACCACTCACTCCCTGAGCTCTGGCTGCACTGGTGTGCTTGCAAGCCCTCCTGACACACCTGCCTGAGCGTATTCTGTCATTGTGCAGGGCTCCGGTGGATGCCACTAGTTCCTGGCCTATATCTGTTCTCAGAATACATTGATTTTGTCTGGGGAAGGAAGATTGATGTCCTCCTAAAAATATTAATTTTTCCAGGATGCCTTGTTACTAGGAGTGATGCTGTGATTCTGGCTAATGGGATATAAACTTTTTTAAAAAAATTACAAAGGAAGAGTGAGAGTGGGCACATGTCATTTTGCTCCTTGGAAATTCTCTGATGTGATGGCCAGGCATGAAAAATCGGTTTTCAGCCGGGAGGATGACAACCACATGTCAAGGAAGCTGGCGTGGAAGACAGAAGGGGCCTTTTGTGACATGTTTGAGCCCTCTGCAATCCTCCCTCCACACTCCATGCTATGAGAAGGCAAACTTCTGCCTAAGCCTTGCATTTAGGTCTCTGTTACACGAGGCCAGATGTAGCCCTGACTCATGCAGAACCTTGCTTCAAAACCTACCCTCTGTCACTCGTTCCCTCTGCCTGTTGGCTCTCCAGCCTCTCCCAGGGCAGCTGTCCCACTCTGCCTACGATCCTTGTTGTATACTTACCAACTTTAATGTGAATGCCTTAAAGAAATGACCCTTGGCTTCAGGAGATGCTTGGTAAAGATTGATGTACAGAGTGACCAGCACTGGCCCCTGTCCCCCCAGATCTCCCCGCGTTGCTGCTCCACTGAAGATTATTTTGTGATGATTTTACCATGAGTCTCTCCATTGACTGACCGCACCCCTGGTTTGCCCTTTCTGCCTGTCCAAGTCCAGCAAGGCATGCAGAAGAACTGTCCTTCCTCCTCTCCTAAAGTGCACACTCAAGAGGGGACTTGGAGCTTGACCTCCTGAGGGCCATGCCCCACCCCATATTCCCTGAAACCACTGGATGAGGGGAAGGAAAAGCTCAGGGCCCCCTAGGGAAGTCTTTCCTCTATTTAAGATTCATGGAGCAGATAAGGGCACCTGGCCTCATCCCTGCCCCAGGCAGAGCCAACAGAGAAGACTCAGAGTATCTCTTTCCCCGCCCAGATGGGACAAATGCCAGCAGCCTGGTATTTGTCCCACCCAGGCTGAGAGTTGCTGAGGTTGCTCCTCGGCTTGATGGCATGCACCTGGTGCCATCACGAAGACAAGCCACATACTAGTCTGGGATCTAGAACATGTCTCCTTGAAGAGGGGCTAGAGAAAGTTCTTCGTGTTTCTTCTTCACTGATCTGCAAGCTCCTTTAAGACAAAGTATGTTTTATTCCTGGTACATACCTGGTATACACAGGGTACTTGGCATACACAAAAAGTATGCTCAGGAAGTATTTGTAGGAAGGAAGGAGAGAGGATGCCTTAGATGCCAAACTCACGCACATTAGTAGCTAGGCAGGATCCGAGCCCTGCCCCTGCCCAGCTCAGCCCACCGTCCTCAGTGCCATCAATCTCTGGGTGCTGACCTGGTTCCCCTACCCATTCAGGCCTGACTCAGCCACGCCTTCACCCTGCACCCTGACCTTTAGCATGCAGAATTCATCACTCAGTGCTCTCACAGCCTACTGGACACTGCATCCTAGCTTAGTGAAACAGACTGGGTCTTACCCCTCTCCTCACTGACCAAAGGAGTTAGGATCCATGCTCCTTCCTTAGTCTGTGTGAAGGTCCCAGCCCTCTTGGGACAAGGCTGCAGGACAGGGATCTGAAAGAAGCTAGAAGCAGGACAGCCCCTTCCGCACAAGGAGGGAGAAGACCATCTTCAGGGAGGGCTGGCAGGTGGGCTGGGCCAGCAAGGTGTCTTCCAACTAGGAAGAGCATGGCATCTGGATGGGCGTGGTTTTCTTAAAGGACTCCAGGAGCCAGCACTGAGCCTGAGAGCAGGAAGGAGGCCACACAGGGGCTCCAGGCGCTAGCACACAGTAGGGAGCTGAGCCTTGGGGATTTCCTAGGTCAGTGGTCGGGAAGTGCATCTCTGCCTCATTCTGAGTCCACAGAGCTAACCAAAGAGAACCTGGGAGACAGTTTCAGTCTTTCAAAATAGTAGGATCTTCACCCTGGGGAGTGAGCTACTCTAGAAGTTCCATTTCCCTTGCTTTAGGCTGGAGTCAGATCAACACAGTCTTCTCCTGGAAACATAAATTATTTGGTACCTGCAACTTGGTAGATAAAACATTTCAAAATGCAGTGTTCTTTTTTTTGATGTTTTAAAAGTTGGACACCACTGAGGTAGCTGCAATTATCTTGCTCCACAGATGAGATGGCTAAGACCCAGAGAGGCTACTCGGCTGGTAATGGCAGGTCTCACAGTAGGACCGAGCCTGCTGGCATCATTAGCCTGTTCTTTGGGCTACATGTGCCTCCCTGTGGTCCTTTGTCTTCATTACTCCTGCTGACATAAAAAGAGAAAATAATTCCAGGATAAAAAAAAAATGGCTTATTCTGAAGTAGCACAAAAGACCTCATCCTGACAACAACAGGAGCTCCCAGAGGATGCTGTTTCCCATGGAAGCGGCTTCCCGAAGGGTGAGGTGGCTGCTGTGAGGGGACCACATGGGCCTTTACAGTCCCCACAGAGAACAAATGGGGTGGGGAGTGGAGGAGGCAAACTATAAAATGATGGGAAATTGGGGGCTGGGGATTTAGCTCAGCGGCGTAAGCACCTGCCTTGCAAGCAGGCGGTCGTGAGTTCGATCCCCGGTACCGATAAAAATGAAAAAGACAAAAAAAAAAAAAAAAAAAAGATGGGAAATCTCTCATAAGATCCAGGTGTGGTTTCCAGTAAGGTGGAAAACTGCTCAGAGGATTCACGTGCCCACTTCTGCCCAGCTGCAAGGCTTAGTAGAGGCCAGGGGTCCATCCAGCTTACTATTCACTTTAAGATCCTATCTAGCAGTCACACAAAAAGCACTAGGCCAGGCCCTGAGGTCCATGAAAAATGTCTCTCAAAGGGCCCCAAATAGTCCAGTCCAATGCAGGCTTTTTAATTTATAACACCACATCTCTCTCTCGCATCTCTCTCTATAAGGTCAAAACACTCACCTGAGTAAAATCCAAACAATCCAAAAATTCTTTCGGTACAAAGGCAGCCTCTTTGCAGAAACTTCAGCTCACACTCTTCCCTTGGTCAGGCTCCTCTGGATCTGCAGGCCCAGAATCTGCTGTTCTCTGTGGGACCTCGCTGGGACACCCATATATTCCCTGGGGTGCCCCACTCAGCCACCTACTGCCATGAAGATTGTTTATTTCCATAGCCACCTGGGGATGGGGTGTTGATGAAGGAAAAGGGGAGTCCCAGAGAGTACGCCAGTCAGGCTTGTTTAGTTGAGTAACGCAGACCCTAATGGATAGTGGCTTACCTAAAAAAGTTGTTCCTCCTTCCCTTCCCTTCCCCTCCCCTCCCCTCCTCTCCCTTCCCCGCCCCTCCCCTCCCCTCCCCTTCCCTTCCCTTCCCTTCCCTTCCCTTCCCTTCCCTTCCCTTCCCTTCCCTTCCCTTCCCTTCCCCTTTTCCTTTTTCTTTCCTTCCTTCTTTCCTGGACAACAGGCATCCTGCGGGGAGGCACTGGGCCAGTGCAGCAGCCAAGGATGTCATTAAGACACCAGGCCTTTCTACCCTCCTGTTCTATCACGGTCAGTGCGTGGCCTTTCTCCTCATGGATGCAGGATAACTGCTGTACTTGTAGGCACCAAAGCTAGTTTCTTTGGGGAAAAGGGGAAATAAAAAACAAAGAAGAAGAAAGACCATTGTGAGAGGAGCCTAGGACTTTAAGCATTTTCCTTTCCTGCCTATGTAGAGAAGGTTTGAAGTAGGGCGGGGTGGCTGGCACCATCTGCCCTGCACCCTTGCCCACTCCCTGCCTGTCTTCTTTCCACTGAGGTGGCAGACCCCTCTGCCCTGGCACCTCTGACTTCTGTTTCCTGTATCTTTAAGTTTCTCTGTTCTCTTGGATCTTATCATTTGTACTTACAGATGCTCAACCTATTCCCACGCTACACAAGCAGAGACTGGCAGTAGGAAGTTAAAGGGCCAAGTGGTGGGGACGGAGCTGTGAAACCATGTCAGGCCAGGAGCTCCTCCGAGAGAAAGAGACAGAGATCAACCATGGGGTCTACAGAAAGTCAGGGCTTCACGGGGAGGCCCTTGCTGAGTGGCCGCAGAGCCAGCTGTTCTAAGGTCAGCAGGTCACTGTCCCTTCCAGATGGCCGGTCCTAATCCTAGGCCTCTCTTCAGGGAGCTGTGACAATGTTTCAGGCTTTGTTTGGTTTCCCTTTAAACGGAGGATCATAACGTGCTTGTGGAAAGGATGATCATGAGGGAACAGTGCAATAATGGACATGGGGAAAAGATAACTGTGGGGGTGGAAGGAAGAGAGACCCCGCCACCTGTGAGTCCTGCATGCTCTGTGATATAAAGTAGCCCCACTCTACTGTCTTGGTGGGTGAGAAAAATGTCTCTTTCCTCTCTTCAACCTTTTCAAATTCTATTTCTTTCTGTGCAGCACAGCATCCTCTGTGAGAAGCCCATCCACCCTTGAGGTTTCCAGTGGCTCTCGAGTCCGTATTTATAGCTGAGACCTTTGTCCCGCACTCTGAAGCCACATACCCACCTCCATACCTGACGGTGACACATGGATAGACTAGACATGGCCACCTTGGCTCGAAATGCCTGAAAGTGTGCCTCCCTCTTCTCCATGTCCGGGTTACTTCCTCATAGTCTCTGTCTTAGTAAATGACACTGTAACCCACCAGCTTTCCAAGCTGGAGACCAGCAGTCACCCATGACTCCTTCCTGTCCTTCGTTCCCCCAATGCCACCATCACGCTCCATCACCCCTACTTCCTACACTCTATGTCTCCAGTGCTGCGTGGTTCGTCTGGCCATCACCTCTCACCTTTGTGACCAGAACTGCTTATCTCCCACCCAACAGGCACTTCCCTGTTTCCCTGCCTGTTAGAACCCCCTAGGCAGCCGCTTCTCCAGCTCCACAACTGAATCATAACAGACAAATGTCTTCCTCTTTGCCAGCCATTCAATTATCAGCATTTTTTTATAGTTAAATGCCAACACGAACCAGTTTTAACCAATGAAATGTAAATGTCTATGATGGGCTTCAGAGACAGTTTTGTTTGTCTACCACCAGGAACAGTTGACGGTAATACTGTCCCTTTCCTCGTCTTCCCACTTTGAATACGATTATTGTGTCTGGACCTGCAGCAGCCATCTTGCAACTATGAGGGAATAAGCAAGAGAATAAATAACCAACATATGGAGGAGACAGGAGCAGAAGGATTCCACAGCTGGGTTTATAACGATATCACAGGGCTGCCCAGCCGCCCCTGAGGAGGCCTTATTTTCTGATTTCCTGTAGGTAAACAATAAATGTCATTGTAAGTTTTAAGCTATTTTGAGGTTTCTTTTCTTGAGGCTATTTCTGACTAATGTCATCTCCTAATTAGTCTCTTTGGCTTTGTTCATGGTCTGTCCTATAACTCACTCCTCAGAAGGTATTCATAGTCTTTTACAAACACATTTCTGGTGTTGACATCTCCTTGCTGAATGCTTTTGATGGTTTCCCATCCTTTATAAATGACACCATACAACCAGCTTGTCTAGCTTGGAATCTGAGTGAGGGCTGCTTCTTTGATTCACACTGGATACCTGAACTCTGCTCTGCTTAAAATGACAGACATCCAGGGTCCCTGATAGGTTTGAGACCACAGTATTGGCTTAGTCCAATGGAGTCAATCTGGCATTCAGATACCAAGATAAAGGAGAAGTCAGGTGTCCTCAGGCGCTCACGTGTCTCCTTTGTAGCCTGGTCACACTCACTGCTGAGTCCCAGTCTGACACTGCGGGGTCAGAATGATGAGTCTTTTAAGGGGGAGAAGCCCACATCCTCAGAAGGACAGGTGACCCCAGTACCCTCAAGGTTGAGGTCGTAGAGCTGTGAGTTTACGCTTGTACTCTCTCTAAACTGTATCTCCCAGGCTAGAGCAGCTGGGGTTTCCAGACTCAGCTGGTCAGATCAAAGCTCTTTAAAATTACAAAGCTAAATCCACATATTTGGCCAGTTCTGCTTCCTCCAAGTCCTCTTGGCCTCTGTACTCCACTGTATTGAGATGGAGTGGGGGGACGTGGCCCCCTCCCCTGCCCACTTCGCAGCATCCATGGTGCTGGGCTTCTAGCTTCTCAGCTTTAGATGCAAATGTGCCCCTTCCTCTGTCTAACATATTCCTGTGGCTTCTCCCTGCTGACTCTTTGTTCTTCTTTTAGGCCTCTGGTTACCTGTCACTTCCTCAGATAAGTTTACCTGAGAGTCTGAGCATTCTCTTCCAAAACATCCACATATTAAGTAAAGTCTACATTTTTCTCAATTGAGTAAAATCTGTGCTGTTCCCAGGACTAAATAACAGATAGTTTAGGTTTGGTTCTCAATTTACTGCTCTTCTTTAAGTAGTGAGTTACACACCTGCTTTGCACCCTGTAAAACTTCTGTAGATTCTAGTAGCACATTTATTCCCCTACCACATACTTAAGCTCCGTGTGTCATGATTACCCATTTTCCTATCTGCCATTCCATCTTAAGTCTGAGCTCCTTAAGTTTAGAGGTCTTGTTCTGTTCATCTTTTATCGCTCAAGCACACAAGTAGGCCTCTGTGATGTTGACTTTATAAATGAATAAATCCATGGTGATGTGAGGGCTGAGAACCCAGAAACCAAGGATTGATGGGGGGAGTGGTGATGTTAGATTTGGCTTCTTGGCCTGAGCTTGGCATGGAAGGGTTCTTCTCTATCTAACCTGTTTGGGGAAATGGATAGAAAGGTCTGTGCTTATGTATCCAAGTATGTATTTGCATATTTCCATGTAACTAGAAAAATATGGAAAACCCTTAATAGAGGAAGATAGGGCAGCAGATGGCTCAATCAGCAAGCCACAGGGACTATTTTCAGAACTTCCAGTGGTTTCTGACTGTGCGAAGAGGGTTCAGGAGCCAAGGTTGGTGGCAAAGGTTGGAGAGAGCTAAATGAGAGGAATTTGGTTTTTTTCCCTAAAAAGAAGACAACAGGGAAGATGAGAAGATTTGCTGAAAAATGTGGAAAGTGTCCAGGCCTGAAGCTGTAAAAACAACGCATGAATTTTTAAACATAAGACCAGAAGTGACTTATTGCTTTATATTGTGTGTGTTACTATACATCGTCTCTTTTCTCTAAATGTTCCTACGTTTGTCCCATTCCAGAAGCTGTTGTCTAACATGATCTGTATCTGAGTGAAAATAGTGCAGGACAGGGACAGTCACTCAACTGGCCAGATGACCCTGACTCCAAGATTCATCAGAAGCAGAGCTGGTCTCTGGAAATTTGTGGGAAACCTGAGATGGCCATCAGACTTCACAAACTGTAGGGATGCTGATGGCTAAGGTCCACATGTCTTGATCTAAGGGGTCAGTGTGACCCCTCTCGTCTTAATACACAAACCCTTGTGTCAGTAGCTGTGAGTCTAGGCAGGCTTTCATTGTATCACTGGCAGTTGTGCCTGGGCTTGAGTGTGGTCCTGTGTTTCTTCTGGAATGATAAATTGATACGATTGGATCTGGTGTCCTGTTGCACACGCTGTGCCTTAGCCATTTTCCTGTCTCTGGGGCAAACAACCTGACACCCATAACCTAAAGGAGATGATGTTTATTTTGGCTCAGGGTTTTAGTTTGTGGTTGGTCATGTCCAAGGCGGAAATGGCACAGTGAAGGACATGTTGGAGGACAGCTTTTCAATCCATGGGAACCAGAAAGCAGAGAGAGAGGAGGAGGAATCTGGGACAAGAATACATCCTTCTAGGTCACACCCCAAGGGACCCACCACCAACCATGCCCTGACTCCTTTATTTAAGAGGATAAAATAGAGTAAAACCAATCAAAACAAACCAGAGTAAGAGATACAGGACTTCAAAACATTACAAAGTCAACAACAGTTACCATAATGCCTCTGATGTCTTCAACATAGCTACAAATAACTTCTGACATAGTAAAAATCAAAGAGAACAGAATAGAACAGAAACAATAAAAATAAAACAATGAATGAAATAAAGGGTTTCAAAACATGACAATAGCAAATCCAAAATTGCCACCATAATATATCTTGCTGTCTTTGAAATAGTTGCTCCTGCCATTGGATTTAACATAGTCAAACAAAACAAGAGAGAATAAAACCCAACCTAACAAAACAATGGAAATGGAACAGAACTCAAAACAAGATTATAGGGAATCAACAATGGCTGCAATCCTCAGAAGGAGATTCCCCACTAGGTACCACACTGCTACCACTGTCCTCTGAACTTATGATCAGACCACTGGCTCTAGACCTGCAGGGTTAGTGAAACACCAAAGCACCACAGGCATCCAATTGCAATTCACCTTAGTAACTGTCATCACGGCCTGTGTTTCTCCGGATAAGCAGGTTGTTTATGGGGGTGGGGCTGAGGGAATGGTCCTTCTTGTATTGCCAGCCTATACACTGGACGGGTCGGGGTCTGGCTTTTCCCAGTCTCACAGTGGCCCATGCTGGTCCCAGACTGGGCTTGTTTGCTGGTATGGCCCTGTTCTCTCTCCTCCAGTCCACAAATGGCCCATGACTCTTAACAGCACATTTACCTGCTGAACTCACCCATGAAGAATCCACTGGTGAGTATAGTGTCCCCATCATCTCTGACACACGAGACTTTGGTGGGGGCCATTTTCACAAAACCATAGTGTGCAGCTAAATGCTCATATCATCATACTTTTCTCCTCTCTAACTCTTCATTCAGGGAAACGGAACCCCCTTCCTCCTCAAACAGAGTGGAGGCCTTTCCAGGATCCAACAAGCTCTCTGAGCTGAGCCAAGTAACAAGCACTGCCTGCCCCTGTCTTCCCCTTTATTTGCCCAAGTCTGTTTCCTTGTCTTCTTCCTCCAGCCCCAGGAACAGCCAAAGTCCTTAATCAAGAGCAGGAAAACAAAAAATCAGGTCACCAGATGTGCTCCAATGCATTCCCTCACTGCCCAGCCTTCCTCACCGCAAGCCAATAGCTTCTTAGGACATATACAGCAAGCACTTGGCACGCCCTCAAACCCAGCTGTGCCCCTGGTGGAGACTGGGGAGCCCACACATCCTACTGCAAGGCCCACCCATGTCTCTAGTACCAGGCCTTGCTCATCTGCGCTGTCTAGACAGCCCAGGCCGAGTGGGATGATTACTCCCAGCCTGCATAACAGTGATACATGTGTGCCATTGGTGCTGCCAGGTGTCCTCCCTGCATTTTCACTGCCCATCTTGGTGAGGGACATCTAGGAGGCCTGCACAAGGTCCCTGTCTGCATGTTGGAGGGCAGGCAGCTTGCCTCTGCTCCAGAGCCTGGCTTCTTGGAGCTGTCCCTCCTCTGCCTGGCCCTCATCTGGAGCTCTGGAATGAACAGCATCTGGGATTCTCATCGGAGGTTGTTTACCAGCCCATTTGCATGGCAGGTTAACAGCCCACAGCAGCCCATTCCTGCCAGGGACTTTCAGGAACTATTTCTTTATGCCAGCGTGGCCCAGCCCGGGCATGAGTGCCCCCCTTCCCCCACATCAGCCACGTGGAAGTGACTCATGCAGGCTCCCTGAGCTTTGCTGAGAGCAGCCAGGACCGCCTGCGTGAAGTTGGGCTGGGTTAGTCCAGGAGCAGGGAACAGCCCAGCATCCCTGATGGAATCCATGCTCCTCTACACTCTCCTCCCAATCCCGATTCCCAAGGTACTAACACCCAGGCCAGATGCAGCCGAGTGTCTGCCACTCTGGAGAAAGTCCCCGCCCTCCCCACAACACCTTCTTGCCACAGCTCATGCTGTAGTCAGGCCTTCAGTGAGGGAAAAGCGTATCAATCCCCACCTCCAGCAGAGCAATCATGTGTATGATCTTGGTTTACCCTCATCATCACCCCAAGAGACTGCTATTATTTTTCTCATTTCAAGAGAAAGAAATAGAGGATGAAAAGATTAAGTGAAGCAGAGGAGTTTTAAGGGAGTGAAACTGCTCTGTGCTATTACAACAGTGGGCAGAGGCCATTTCCCAGCTATCCGCACCCACAGGGTGCAGGAGAATGGGGTGAGGGCTGTGGTTGGCAGTGACCTGTCTGTGCGGGTTCATCACTCGTGACAAATGGACCACTGATAGGTTCATCACAAGGCGACCAAGTGGGTGGAGGTAGGTGCTGGAATATACAGGGGACTCTCTACTTCCTATTTAGTTCGGCTGTGAACCTAAACTACTCTAAAAAATAGAATAGATTCAATAAATAAACACATTTTTAAAACATTAAGAATAATAAAAGTGACCTTATATGATCAGATGGAAAATGCTTGATCCAGGAGTTAAATCTGAGGCGGCCTGGTGCTTCTCCCCAGGAGGGAGAGGAAAGCCAGCCCCCTCTGGGGCCCTTTAGAGCTTCTCTGTGTCCTGTCTGCTCCATCCTCAGAGCTCCCCTGTGTGAAATGTCCTGCGTGCGCTCTTGCATGGACTCACAGGTTTACCAGCACCTCTGCCAATTTTGGCTCCTCGGCCCAGCCTGCCATTGCCTGCCCCTCCTCACCGCCATAAGACAGTACCAGCCTTGAGCTCTGATTCTGTGGTCACTGCTCTCGGCTGGCAGCACTCGTCTGGTACAGAGTAGGGGTGCGTTCAGTGCCTGAAGCAGTGCATGCATGCATGATGAAGAGGAGAGGAAGGAGAAGGGAAGAACAAGAAAGTGGGAACGGGAGGAAGGGATGAAAGGAGAGAGGAAGGAGAAAAAGTGGGCAGAGCGCAGGGTAGGAAGGAGAAGAGTTTTGTGCTGTCTGGTTTTGTCTCATCCCCTTCTGTCTTCTGGGTTCTCGAGGCCCTTCTCACTACCTCCCCTCCTCACAGGTGGAGCTCTTCATACCAGCTCTCCCTGTTCCCGCTGTGTACCCCTGAAGTTCTTCACCCTTAGAATGAGAAAATGAATGTGGTATTTGGGCAAAAGAAGAAGGGCAAAAGAGAAGTGGAAAAATCTTGGGTTTGGAAATTCAGCTGACTTCCCTCCTTTGGAATAAAAGCTCCTTCAGCCCCTGGCTGAGGGGCAGGAGGCAGAGCCAACAGCAACACCAGAGGCCAGGACGCGGGGAGGAGAGCAGGAGACGAGGAGCGGCACAGGGCAGTGAGTGTGGAGTCCAGGAGGCAGAGGTGGGTGGGTTATCTCTGGAGATCGAATCCCAATCCTCTCCCTGGCCCTAGCCAGACAGAAATCAGTCATCCAAGGCATGGGGCAGAGCACTGTCCTGTCCTGGGAGCTTGAAAAGGACCAGAACAGGCAGCTCCTGGGGGAGACCCGGGCTAAGTCTGTCTCGTGTCCTCAGCCCCTACTTCAGTGTCTGACTCATGGAAGGAGCCCAAAAGTGTCAGCCAGGGGAAAAAACAAATGAGTAACCCTCGTCCCAAGAATAGACCTTGACCTCAGGTTGGTCCCAACACGCATTAAAGAATGGAATGTACAACTTGAATACCAAATGTAAATGACAATCCTCTGAGCGAGGGGTTCCTGTGGGGTACACAGTGCAGGCAAGGAGCCCAGGGAGGGTAACTCACTCCAAGGAGAGTCTCCGTGGGCCTTTGAAGGCACCAATGGGAATATGATTGGCTAAAATGAATATCAAAGTGGAGAGGGATAGTTTGGATTAAAAACAAGCAAGAGAGCAGAGGGCTAGTGGTCAGGGCTGGGACAGCTTTCCCTGATTGGAGCAGAGAGCAACTTCCTGCCCACCCCCCACAGCTGTGGACAGGTGTTGTACAAGCAGTGTTGGTGTTTCCACAGGCTCGCTGGTAACCTGGACAGCTAAAGAAAATATCACAGCACACCTTACAAGTGTTGAATAATCTCTCGGAGTCTGTTTACAACCTTTGTTGTGCTTACAGGGGTAAAGAGTGAAAGCTTAGGGTTGTAAGGGCCCAGAGTCCAAATGGATTTCCACAAGAAGGGGACAGAGAAGCAGGAGAGGGAGCAGGGAAGCACGGGAAAGACCGGGGAGGGTGGTGCACAGAAGAGCAGCCCAGGCTGCCCTCTGTCTTTTTTTGTTTTGTTTTCTGTTTTGTTTCAAAAGAGAGAGGGGGATTGGAGCAGCTGTTGAGATGAGGCAAAGTTCAAAAGGCTTGCAAGCAAGGCTGCTGGGTGATACGTGATGCGTGCCACTGCACATAGGCACTGGGCAAAGCAAAGACTCACCTAGGCACTAGGCTTCTGGAGCTGGGCTCACGAGTCCTTCAGATTTAGTCTGCTGCAGTAGACTGTGATGGGGAGGAAGCAAAAAGCACTCAGTTGTATTCTAGCTGCACCTTCCTGGGAGAAGACATCTCTTATCCTATACTGGTTCTCCCCTTCCTTCCTAATAGCACCACAGTTTGTTGCTCAGACAAGACGTTTCACAGATGCCTTTGCAGCTAGGAGCACCCTAGAGGCACTGTAGAGCTGCTGGAGAATGGATGGGAAAGCCTGGCTCTCCTGGGATAGTGCTTGCTTTCTGCTATTTTTTTGTTTGTTTGTTTGTTTCTTCCTGCCTGGAGCACGTGACAGGAGGAAGCATGGTGGCAGCAGGATAAACCGAGGCCATGCATGAAGGATGGCGGAGCAGAAGGGCTGAAGGTGCTACCCTGGGCAGTCTAATTTCCTGCCCAGTAAAGTGAGAAAGAAGCCTAATAACGTGGATTCTGCCACCAGCCAGGGTACAGTCCACCAGATCTCATGGCCCTCACTGTGGCAGGACTGCTTGGGAGATATAGCATACAGGTCTCAAACCACAGCATAACCACAGTGGGTAGGGATATCATTTCCAGCCCTGGCTGCCGGGGCCTGGTGTCTTGAAAAGGCGGGACCTCCATCTCTCCATGTCTCTACCCTGAGGTGGAAACACTGGCCAAATTTTGAGAGGTAGGATTTTGGGTCCTTAGCGTGTTCCATGACTGGGCAAAGGCAGTAGGAAGGAGAGCTGTGAAGGCCATGGTTTACTTACCTTCTTTTATTCTGCACCCAGCCTTAACCTTCATCTGTCTTTATTTTCTTGAGGTTGGAAGAAAAAGAAAGGAAAACAGTAAGCTTCTTAGAGGCTCTCAAAGTGGCTGTTGTGTGCTATTCAAAGGCCAGTTCCTGCCCCACCCCACAAACACACACATGCACACACACACACACACATGCATGTACCTGCACTCTCGCACGCACATGCACTCACACAGAGGCACTTGTCCCCTTGTTTCTGTCCACCTCTTCTCATTTGCCAAATTTACTTTCTTGTAGGAGACTTCAGAGATGCCCTGGGGTTGGCCAGGAGACCTGAGTCCAGCTCCTGGCCTGGTCACTAACTGGCATGACTTTAGTTGGACAAGTGATGCCTACTCACCTGGGATGTCATCTCATTGTTTCTAGCACAGATTCTCCAGCTTCCAGCACAGATCCCTCAGCCTTCAATCACAGACCTCTCAGCATTCTATTGCAGACCCATCGGCCTTCTGATGCGGACTCACACAGGGCACTGCAGGGAGCTCCTGACCTTCAGCTGAGTCCTTAGGGCTCCAGTGTGCAGACAGACCCTCTGCACTCCTCCTCCTCTGAATGTTTGTGGTAATGACCACATATCTTGTGTTCTATCTGTTTCTCTAGTGAGCACTGACTGAGGCACTCCTCCAACCAGGTTCTACCTCCTGCGGCACATGCAGGCATGAACTCCTCAATGGATGAACCTGTTAATGGATATAGTGATCCCATGATCCAGTCATTATCCTGAACTGGCTGTCAGTCCCTGTTCAAAGACCAGTTCCTCGCAGACGCCCCCAACGTACACACACATGCACTTGTCCACTCTGAACCTGCAAACTCCACCTCTGAATCTGTGAGGCTTCACAATACACATTATAGCTGAGCCTTAACAGCCACACATTCTTGAGGACAGCTCAGCTCTCAGACCACGTTACCTCCATGGCCTGTCAGCCTAACAGAAAGAAAACTATCACCTCAAAGGCCCCTGCTGGTGACATCTACATTTAAAACTATAATATTTTGATTCATAAAGAAGTTTAGCTGGGGTACAGCTAAGCGGTTAGAGCACTTGCTAACATGCACAAGACCCTCAGTTCAGTCCCTAGAATTACAAAAACAAAATAATAAAAAAACTGCTTTTCTTTTTGGGCCTGGCCCAAGATTTAACTCCATCTCTTTCTGCACTTGTGTTCTCTTTGATGAGAGAAACAGAGAAAGAGAAACATTGGGAGAAAGAGAGAGAGAGAGAGAGAGAGAGAGAGAGAGAGAGAGAGAGAGAAAGAATTGCAGTGGTAAAGACATTTAAACATATTTTATTTGAAAAAAGGTCAAACATAAAAACTCTTCCTTCCCAATCCTAGTCCTGAGTCCCAAGCACCACTGGAGACCCAGCTCTGAGTACTGTAAGACAGCATTGCAGATCATCTCGAGGGCATTTCAAAGCATTGCTTTCCATCCCTATGGACTCTGTTGAGTCCTGGTACCAGTCAGGAGCAGCAGTCCAGCAATCCTCTGGTGGTTTCTTTAAAACAAAGCTGGCAGGCTATGTGAGAGAATGGGTGGCAGCCTTCGGTTTTCTTCCAGCCTCAAAGATGCCGGGAAGGAGGCAACTATAAAATAGCATCCAGTGACAGTCCCAGGGTGGACAGTGGAAGTCACAGTGCTGCCCCTGCTGGGGTCTACACACCTCAAACTGAGCACAGAATTAGATGTGGCAGGCTGGGCTCTGGTCCCAAGATGGGCTAAGACAAAACAGATTTAGTACTTGCAGAAAGAAGAGGAGGGGAGGACAAACAAGGAACAAAAAACCTTGGTGTCTTTCTATCATACAAACACAGAAACAAAAGACTGCTGAAGGCTACCAATCTGGCAGAGACCTAGGGGATTAGAGGAAAAGAAATAAAAATAAACAAAAGGACACCAAGCTGCCAGTTTTGCAGACCAGATGTGATCTTGGAAACTGGTGTACTAAGTAAGAAAAACAGCTGTTGAATGTCACATGTGACAAATCCAATGATATAATACTTTCATCATCAGAAGAGGCTTTGATAACTTCACCATTAGCAGTAAGAATAAAAACAGGAAAGGAGGAAAGAGGAGCCTAATTATAGCACTACCCACATTCACTGGCTTTTGAAGACCCAGCCATGCAGTTTAAACTGCTAATGGAATGGAGCTACTGAAAAACAGTTGTATCTGTTGAGAGGATTTTAAGAAATGTTGAAGTTGGCAAAGTGAATCGCTCTGTGTAGCAAAATGTTTTCAGCTCGGGTGGTCATTAGAACAGCAAGAAAAAGACAGAACAAAGGAAAAAGAGGCTCTACTGGCAATGGCTCGCATTACATCCATAAAACCATGGTTTCAACATAGCAGCAAAACACGTATGAATTCAAATTGGAAAATTTTTGAATATTCTGGGCTTTATGTGGGATGGAAAGTTGGGGAGAAACTGCTGCTTTGAATTGATGGATTCAACAAAAATGATTTCTGGTCTTGCACAGAGGCTGTGATTTAAATAATCCATGATTTCCCCCTAACTGTCTTCAGCCTCGTTCTCTTTCACTTCCTGCAGAAAGCATTGTCATCTGCTTTGCAAGCTCCAATGACCCCATCCCAAACATAACTCCCCAGTGCACCGGGTTCCTTTCCAGGGGGGCTGTCACCCGGAGTTTCTCTTCCAGCCAAGCAGTCACAGAGAGAAGTTCAAAGCCTAGGACTGATACAGAAAAGACAGGACATCCTATTAAACCTGAGTTTCTGAGACACAAATAATTGTTTCAGTATGTGTATGCACCATACAATATTCGGGATACGCTTATGTACTAAAATAATTATTCATGGTTTATTTGCAATGTAAATTTCGGGTGAATTTTAATGCAACTGCACATCCTGTATTTTTTAATTTCCTAGCTTTGGCGCTCCTCTTTGTTACTTTCTATCTGCTCCTCAGCCCTTGAAACCTGGCGTCAGCATCCTCTCTGCCACTGATGCTGCTCAGCCCCTGTTCCCCTGAGGCCTCTTAGTGACCAAATCCCAAGGGCAGGCTTGGGGGCCGACAAAGGACTCCAGGGACACTTGGTTGTTTCCATTCACCTCCTTATTCACATGGGAAGCTTCTTCTGTTCTGGCTTTCATCAGGTGCCACCTGATGTCTTATCTATCTTCCTCTGGCAGCTCCCTCCCTGAGGCCCTCCTGGGCTGTTTGTAAGTCACTCCCTCCGTGCATGACGCCCCCCCCCCCACTCTGTCTTCGGGCCCCTAGCCCTCCTCTGTGCATAGCTGTGTTTGCTGTTTTTGTCTCCCTGCTCAGCCCTGCTGGCCACAGCTGCCCCATGCAGCTCTTGCTTCCTCATCCATCATGCTGACTGCAGAGCATTGGAGTAAATCTCCCCGAGGAGCCTCCCTGCCCTGGGCCTCAGAGGACAGGGCTCAGCTGTCAGTGGAGAACACGGTTTCCAAAGGCTCTGCAGGATCGATGGACTATGAGTCATGGGTGTTGCATCTCAGTCATTTGGGTGCTCTGGAGCCAGGGAGGCGTCCCTACGTCCCTTCTCTCTGGCTTTAAGTGTACGCTTATTTCAGTCTAGGTGCCTTCTTGTTATATTTTTTTACTTTTGTTGTCTTTAATGATTAGTACGCGCACACACACACACATGCATCCAAGCACACGCACCTCCCCACATCCTCTCCCATCACACTGTGTCCTGCCTGACAAACTGGTGAGTCCCAAGGGGAAGACCGAGTAGACAGGTGTGACTGTAAGAATTCAGCTAACACGATCATGACAAAAGCATCTGCAAAATTCAACATGCTTTCTGGATAAACTTGCAGTATAATATAGAAGAAAGTTTCTTTGACATAATAAAAGCCAACAATGAGAGAAACTGAAAACCTTTGCACTAAGATCCAACGAAGAGAAAGATGTCCCCTCTGAACACTTCTACTCAGCATGGAAATACTAACATTTCATCAGACAAGAGAAAAAGAAAAAAAAAGACAATCATATCAGGAAATTAGGAGTAAAACTAGCTCCATTTTACATGACATCCTGTGTGTAGGAAACCCAAAAGATTCCTCAAAATAATGTTAGAATTATCAAATGAATTTAAAAATATCATGACATACAACATCAATTTTAAAAACTAGTAGCATTTTTATATACAAATAATGACCCAGCTGAGAAAGAAACCAAGAATATAATTCCATTTATGATAGCATCACAAAGTTTAAATCTTAGAAATACATTTAAGCCATGAGGTGAAAGTCTTTGCACAGAAAAATATAAACTAGAAGCCACCGAAGAAGACACAAGTAAATAGAAAATATATTCTGCTAATAGTTTGAGAGAATTTTGTTACAGTGTTCATACTATCCAAAGCAAGATATGGATGCATGCAGATTTTACCAAAATCACAATGGTATTCCTCACAGAAATAGACAAAAGCAATTCTAAAGTTTGTATAGAACTAAAGACTTCTAGTAGTCAAAGCAATTTGGAGGAAAAACAATAAAGTCAAATTAGTCATACTGGCTGATTTCCAAATCTCTTACAAAACTAAAAACAGTATACAGACTTGTAAAACAGAACAGAAATAAATTAAACATACATAACCAGCCTTGTAATTTTTTCAAGGGTAGAAAGAAGACACACAAGACAGTGTACTATGTAAATTGTGCTGGGGAAACTAGTTTTCCACACACAAATGAATGAAATTGCACCGTGTTTTAGTTATATAAAAGAATAACTAAAAGTGGGTATAAAACCTACAGGTATGACTTGAAACTATAAAAATCCTAAAAAAAATAACAGTAAACACATTAGCCTTGATGATGAATTTTTGGATTCATACCAAAAGCTTAGACTATAAAAGCAAAAATAAAACAAACAAAACTGTACCAAACTAAAAAGCTTCTGAAGTGCCAAGAAGATAAAATGAAACATCAAGCTTGAGATTTGGAAAATATCTGTACACTGTGTATTTAATAAGGGGTTAATGTGCCAAATTTACAAAATACTTATACAACTAAATACCAGACAAACAAATAACCTGATTGAAATGGAACCGAATAGACATTTCTTCCAAAAAGCTATAAAAATGACTAACAGGACTCTGCAAAGATGCTTGCTGTGTTC